CATATTCGATAGTATACATCTTATGATATACTATATATATATCTTACTATATATATATATATATATATATATATATATATATATATATAGCTTAAGTATATACTATACTATATATATTCGATATATTCAATATATATACATATCTTAAGATGTATATATAGTAAATCGAATTATATTATATATATAAGCTTATATATATATCGAATATAGCTTATATATCTTAAGATGTATATATATCTTAAGATCTACTATACTATACTATATATATATATATATCTAGTATATCTAGTATACTATGTATATATAGTATATCTTAAGATGTATATATAGTATATTTTAAGATGTATACTATTGAATATGGCTTATATACTATGTATATATAATATAGTTTATATATATTTTAAGATGTATATATAGTATATAAATCGAATATAGCTTATATCTTTATTACCATTTTTTTTCTCTAACTTCTATTAAAAAAAATTAAAAATAGAAAGTATCTGTTGGGCCCGTTTGGGCCAGGGACCGGCCCACTTAACCCGGGACCGTTAGTTCGTGGTCCCGGTCCTGAGCCGGTTGCAGCAATAAGCCCGCGAAGCTCGGGCCCGTTTAAGACTGGCCCACTTAGGATCGGCCCACTTAGAACCGGGCCCGCGAAGCCCACTTAGGACCGGGCCCGGCCCACTTGCCACCCTTAGCCAGGAGCCCGCCAAACTCCCCAAGACATCATTTTCAATGGTCAAAGTGTGACTCAACCATAGAACCTTTAAGCACCACTGAATAACTCGTTTCCGCTGTTATCGACGGCTTTGCCAGCATATTCGATCTGAAATACTTTGTCGTCCGGCAAGAATATCGTCACCAATAAGTCACAACTTGTTCCTATGCTGCTCATTTTTTAAGTTTCAATTCCTTTGTTGTGAAATACTACGGATTTTATTGATTCAATTTTAAGTTCAAAGATTTTTTGCTTTTGAACTATGAGCGACGGAACATACAGAGAAAGAGGAAAAAGAGTTTTCTTTTGTGTCAAGACAGAAGAAGAATTGGAAGGAAAGGGGAAATGTTAACGAAAAAAATAAAAGAAAAAGGAAGAGATAAGAGGACTGTGATGAGAGGGGTAATGAAGAAGATGGGGGGGGGGGGCTTTTTTTT